AGTAGAGCTTTTCACAAGATGGACCAGGACTATAGACTGACCAGTGGGCAGCTCTGGCAGGATCCACCATGAGTCTGTACTGAAGAAGGCCTGTCCCCAGCAAGGAGAAAGACACAGCATACACCGCATGTCTTTTAAAACCTTACCCTGTGCAGGGAAGGTTCATGTTTGCAAAGCTAGGCTGACTTTTGTTCCACGATTGTCTTTGATTATACAGAGATGTTTTCAAAGTCAGTTTAGAGCAGTAAGAAAAATGTCTTGGGCCGGCCCGGTGGCACACTGCTACAGTGCACCGCTTAGGAGCGCGGCGGCGCTCCCGCCGAGGATTCGGATCCCACATACAGACCAGTTCCCACTCACTGGCTGAGCGAGGTGCGGACGCAACACCGAGGGTTGTGATCCCGTTGCCGGTCCCGGTCCGGTACGGGTGCGACACTGAGGGTTGCGATCCGTTGCCGGACACGAAAAAAAGACAGAAAGAAAAAAAAAAAAATGTCTTGTCTTATGTTCAAGTGAGGTACTTGTATGAGTAAGCTCTAACTAAACTTTAGGAGAAGCAGGATGTTACCTGAGGTAAGCTTTCATCTTTAAAAGAATAAAGCCATAATTTTGTTTCTAAACCAATGACTTTCATACTTTTGCAACAAATCCACATTAAGAAATATATTTTCATATAGACTTTTATGCATGTGTGTATGCAAACACCCACCCATTCACACACAGACCCCTGAAACAAAAGTTACCCCCCCAAAACAATACTCATCCTCATTATGTATAACACAGCCTGATACCTTATTCTATAAATGATAGTCACAAGCCACTAAATTGATTCCATGGCCTACAAACAGGTAGTTTGAAAAACACTATTCTAAAAGGATAACTATTCAAGTCCATCTTATCCTCTCAACTAAGTCACAGCTAAATAGATGAGTATAAGGAATAGGGAAGCAAAGGATTTGCTAAAGGCACATTTGTTTTTTATTATGGGGTTGGAAGGAAGAAAAGTGGAAAAAATGGTTTCGTAAGATGTGAAACCATCTATTTCCAGTTGGATACGTTTGGAGAGCATACACAACTAAATTTTCTCTAACACCAAATGAATATAAATGTACTCAATAAATTCAAAGCTTTTAGAGACAACTAAGTTTTACTGGACTTTTTCTTCTATTCTCAGTAAAGGATCGATATTCACTGTACAGCAACTGTAAGAGAGTGGTCTGGTACTAAATGCTTCTGGTATGTTATATATAATACACACACGAACATATTTAAACTGCCCAGAGCTTGTAAACTTAAATGGCACTATTAAAAAATATCAAAACCCAGTTTTAGGTTAAGCTCGTTGAGCATTTTGAGAAGATTTCATGCTGTTTAAGGCATATATTTCTTTTTAGTAAAATGCAACTATTTTAGAATCTTAACGAGGTCAAAAAATGTAGCTGTGGCTGATAGCATTTAAACATATTGTCAAGTATTGCCCACGTAATAGCTGACTAATTTAGCTAACAAATATCAGAACTATTCTAAATCTCCCTGAAAGGATTCCTGTGGCTTTATATCCTAAAGAATCCTCAGGTGCAAGGCCAGCCCAGGACCAATTGTAATTGCCGAGGCCTGCTCACAGATACAGGAACAAATACGGCTAATCCTAAAAGCCACTCTCTTTCCCTGCTATACCTATTTCTTTCCCATTGCCCTTCCTTTACTAACTTTATTTCCAAGATAGACATTTCTCTTCGACTAACGGTTCTGGAATGACAGGGATCCTCCCCAGGACACTGATATGGGATAGCTGTTCTCATGGTAAAGTTACTGAGATAATGGGCTGTTCCTATGATTTTTTCAGAAGCCCAATAGGAAAAACACAGCGACTGTATTTAGGTCACACTTCTCCCCACATTTCTCTGTTTCCCAAACACTAGTTTCCATAGTGATTCCCTTCTCTTCATACAGGATAAGCTTCTGGTTCCAACTTTAAAATTCTCCAAGTTGGCTCTAATACACAGTCACGGCTGGAGGCATGGCACAGGGCGCACCCCAGGCTGGGAATGTGCACTTACACTGTCTCCGATGGATCGCAGCTTGTAGAATGGCTGAATATAAAACCAGGACCCTTCATTTCCAGCCTCGTCCAATGTCACTCTCATGGCATTCTTCTCCAGCAGAGCGGGAAGCCTTTTATTCACAGTCAGGTATTTATTACTTTTCAAATGCAGGAGCTAAAAACCCGCCAAGAGAATAAGGTGAGGGTGAGCGAATCTCTGAATCTTCTATCATCTCTCTCAGTCATATGAAATATATATCAAACATTCCTCCCACCACTGAGCTGCTTGTGAAGTTAGAGAATCACAAAGTGCCTAAGGCTGGGAATAATTAGAAAAGAAGAAAGAGTAAAGGAAGCAGAAGTAGAAGGCAAAATAAGAGTAAAAAAATTTTTTTTTCCTTTCTCATCATAGCCGTGGACAAGATGGATGTTGCTTGGGTCCACTGTACCCTCATCTGCCATCTGTTAGTGGGAAGGGACTCACCTCGTGTAAAGAGGCTAAGGAACTGCAGTCTCAATATGCCCTGACACAAAGGTGGAGCAGAGCAAGGTGATTCTGAGCACATAAAACAGTTCAATTTAAAAGGCAACCCCATTAGGGGATTGTCATTTCAATTGGAAGAACCTGGCTTGAATTTCCAAGCACTTGATTCTTGGGTAATGGTTACATGAAGGGGATGGAAAGACTGAAGATCTAAATGGGAAACAACTTTTCTGACTGTCTAGACCAGGAAGAGTTTGGCCAAGGCTTCCCAACCCAACAGGCTACAAGAGAACATGGAAGAGAATATGAAAGACTGCCCTATCCCTGGAGAAACAGACCATCATGGGACTCTACTGCTAACTGCCAACATCCTCCTTCGCAGAAGATAACAGATATAGTTGCTACAACAGTCCGAGGAGGTCCCCACATCTTCCTTATGGGTGGGGGAGTTACCTTCTGATTCATAAGCCCCTGACATCCCCTAGCCAAATTAAGCAAGGTGAAGGCAATGTGCTCCACACCCCTCTTTGTTCCCCTGGCGAGTGGTCCCTGATCCTCTGTGACCCTGTCCAGGTGCAGGACTCAGTTGGTTTATAAACCATCATTACCTACAAGATCCAGGCTTGGGGGAAGTAGTAATAACAGAGTATTTACCATATACTCACAGATTACTCTGTAACAAGCACCTCGCAACCATCTTAGGATTTCCATTTTGCTGGTGAGCAATCTGAGACATGGCAAGTGCCCAAAATCTCACAGTAAGTCACAAAACCTGAACTGGGATACACGTAAACATTTATATTCTTAGCCCCTATTCACTTCTGTCATCTGCGGTTCAAGCAACATTCTCCAATCTAACCAAATCAGGGAGGCTTGCTCCCTGAGTTTCAGGGCAGTGACCTGGCCCAATTGTAAAGCTGATATTGAATGTTGAGCCTACCCGGCCCCGTGTGCACTCTAAGTTGGATGGACCTTGAGGAGGAGGAGTGTGACTGGCAGGATCTAATCTTCAAACAGATTTGGGGAGCTACTTTCACTGTTTCAGAAGGCATAATATAAATAACCCACTTAACCACAAAAGGTTACTTTTACCCATTTTTTACTAGTTTTCCCATCCTCCCAGTGAGCACTGCTCTATACCTAATGGCAATAAAAATGAAAAGGAATTCCTTTATAATTAGTGAAGTTTACAGAGTAAGCAAAATCTTTCAGAAAAGGAAATAATACCCAATATTTTAGTAGGTGTGTGTTTTCTTAGTATTGTGCTTTTAGAGTTCTTTGCTGTTGTTTGTTTGTTTTGGTGGCTGGCCAGTGAGAGGATCCGAGCTTGTGACTGTGGTGTTAGAACTCCTCTCTCTAACCAACTAAGATTACCAGCCAGCCCCCAGGAAGGGAGTAATGAAGCAAGATAACCAAATGGGTCAGATGCTCAAAAGTTGGTAACTACTATCCTTTGTGCCCAGGTCAAAATGATCTGGTAACGGGACAAATCTAGAAGGCCACATGTGGCACTGGACTTCCTAACGCACTGTTTTCTGCAAGACTAGGATAGACCAGAAGGATCTTCTGAGCAAAACCTGCGGTAGCTGCTTCCTGGATCGTGTTTTATCCCCATGCCTAATTTAAAGGCACAAAAGAGAAGCTAGCAGACTTCACAACCCGTAAGACAAGACATGGGAACAAGTATCAGATATTTTTGATACATAAAATTTATCAACATGATAAATATTTTTCATTAAAAAAATTCTGAAGGCATTGAATTGCTCTTATTACCTCTGGCGAATAGCTCCTAACCAATAAATAAAAGTTCCAGGGAAGGCAGTTTTCACCAAATAGAAGGAACAGCTAGCAGACTTCACAACCCGTAAGACAAGACATGGGAACAAGTATCAGATATTTTTGATATATAAAATTTATCAACATGATAAATATTTTTCATTAAAAAAATTCTGAAGGCATTGAATTGTTCTTATTACCTCTGGCGAATAGCTCCTAACCAATAAATAAAAGTTCCAGGGAAGGCAGTTTTCACCAAATAGAAGGAACTTTTCAAGCAGTGCAAGTTAAAACTGCAACAGCCAGGCTCTTTTTCATGTAGGAAGCTTCCCGTATGAAATACACGGACATAAATTATCAGCTACAGGGGGAGAGAAGAAGATTCTCACACTGAGAGGAGACCACCTAAAGAGCCCAAGAGTCCATCACATATAACAAGAAACATTAGACTTCTTGTGATGAACTGGCTGTCTCCATGGAGTCCTCCTGTAAAGGTGTCCCAACCCTGTCTCATGTGTTTGTTGTGACACTTTGGCTTGAGAACAGCAGAGCCACCCTAACCCACCTGGATCACGTTGCCATACTGGATTACGGTCCCCAGCAACTTCCTGTTTTCTGTCTCATTCTGCTTCTTTTCCAAGTCTGCGGCATGCTGTGCATTGAGAAGCAAGATTGGTCACAAAGAAGAAACAATGGGTGACACTGCTCTGCAGCGATGCGAAACAAACGTCACCAGTTAATACAAGAACCACAGAAACAAGCCAATTCCTAGGTACACCCCGAGGCTACGTGAAATGAACGAGGGGTTCAAAAAGCCAGTCCACTCTGCCTTTGCTTTGTCAGCCTCTTTGGCTTCCTTTTTAAGGAAGGAATTCTTCTTTAAAGAATTCATGGACATTTGCTTAGAGAGAGACTAAGTCAAAAGCTATACTATATATTTTTAAAGAAAACAGGGTAGTAGCAGGAGGGAATCTGCCTAGCCCTTTTATGATTCATACAGGTCCCCTTCAAGGCTTTAGAGTAAAATAAAAGTGGATTTAAATACTGGTTTGGAGTGGTTTGTGGTTTTGAGACCGTAAGTGTGTTACTTAACAAGTGTGAGCCTCAGTTTCCTCTTTTGTAAAATGAGGATAAAAATGGTACCTACACTTCATGGAAATCATATAGCACAGTGACCAGTCATCACAGCGCATGCAGTGCTAGCTATTATTGTTAGACATTAATTGTAACTTAATTAATTTTCATATTACCCCAATTTTAAAGAAGAAATAGATTAAAAAGTTTGGTCAACATCGCATAGCTAGTTGGATAACGGGTACAAAAGGGCTTTGTTATACTATTTTCTTTTGTGTACATTTAAAGTTTTACTTAACACTTTTTTTTTAATTGCACATTTATTAAGTGGCAGAGATAATCCTCAGACCCACACTTGGGTTAACTCCAACTTTGTACAGTTACAAATGAGGCTGGGAAACATTACCAGTCCAAATTTGGCATGTTAGAGGATGTGGTAAAGCTGAGTAGAGGGTTCTAGAACAGTGAGCCAGGGCCACTATGCAGAACAGTCACTGCTCACTCATGTACCACTCAGAAAGAACTGTTATCACATTACAATAATGCTAAAGGGGAATTAGTTTCATCCTGGGCGATCAGCTACCTGTTGTTCCAACCTCTGTCTTCCAAACCAAGACTAGGTGAAAAAGAAGAAAAATAACAGGGAAGAAATTCAATATTGAATCTGATGGATGGTAAAACCCCAATGAACCGTGTACTGCAGAAGTGTTTCCAATGTTCTCTTCTAAAGTTTGCCCCTTCCTTGAGGCAAGATGCCACCGGATGTAAATGGGATTGTCTTTTTTCATGACCAGCAACGGATCGCAACCCTCAGTGTCGCGCCTGTACTGGACCGGGACTGGCAACGGGACCGCAACCCTCGGCGCTGCACCCGCACCTCGCTCAGCCAGTGAGCGGCCAGTCTGTATGTGGGATCCGAACCCTCGGTGGGAGCACCGCCGCACTCCCAAGCGGCGCACTGTAGCAGTGCACCACCGGGCCGGCCCCATCCATGAACTTTTTGAAGTACCTTCATACAGTTTCTCTCTGCTCAAAACATCACGCTGAAAGGATTCACCTTTAGAGAATTCTTGGGACTGTTATCTAAAATTACGGTACTGCCATACAATGGAGTAGCATTTCTTGGACTCAAATGATATAAAAGCCCCTCTTTAAGAGGGAAAATTTTCATGGACATACCCTTTATTCTCAAGAATGGCCTCAGTTTAAGAAACACTAACCTGAAATATGATGAAGTTCCTACCTACACTTAGACTATGTATAAAAGTAGTGACCCAATGGTCATGGCGTATCTGAAAAGAAATGCCAAGTTAGTCATCAAGAAGGTCTATATTCCATATTAAAAACTAATTAAACACCAGCAGCTCTGAAGAGCAAGGGCATTTGTCTAAAAACATAAAAGATAAAATTTGACAGAAAATAAAACAAAATTACAGAATAAATTTCTCAGGACTTCTTAAAATAAAGATGTTCTCAAATAACTACAATATAGATAAAAATAATATTCTCAAGTATCTAAAACTGTTAAACCTCTGTTAAAGTAAGAGTTAAAACTCTTAACTCTGTTAACAAGTTTAATGATGACTGAGCCTACACATCACTGTTGAATAAACATTAAATACATTAAGCTTATGGACTATTCTAAGAATTCACTTTTCCTGTAAGTTCTCTTTATTTATGGAGACAACTCTCACGCTCATTTCACCTTTTACTAAATGTATTAATATCGAATGTGCTCATTTGAGTTCAACATCAGTCCTTAGATAACTTCCCTAACAAAACCAAATGGGGTTTTTAGACAAAAACACCCATCATGACTTTTAGGTTCGACAGGCAAAGCAATAGGTAGCAAGGTACAACTATATCTGGGCCCACTGATCAAGGTTATTTCCACCCTTGAAATGAAATCTAGTTTGCTAAATCCATCAAGTGTCTGCCAAGAATGGGCCCACACTGACAGTGAACTGGCATGACCTTTCTGAAGGATTATCTGTCAATACAGACCAAAAAGCTTTTCAATGGGCCTAACTTTGACTTAGCAATTCCAATTCTAGGAGTTTCTTCTGAGCAGATAAGCTGGTATATACACAAAGCCATAACAACATCCCCCCCCCCCCAAGGCAAAAATTGTCAGGATCCTGAATACCACTCTCTAATCAATCTAGGGACTGTTATCTAAAATTACGGTACTGCCATACAATGGAGTAACCATATAGCCATAAAAATGAGAATAGAGATTCCTATTTATTCACAACACATTGAGTGGAAAAAAGCAGATTAAAGAAAGTAAGAGAGCATGCTCCCATTGAAAGTTTAAAATATAGAGACATAGGAATAGAATAGGGGGTGGCAGAACAGGGCACACACCTAGATAAAAACCTATGAAGAATAAATTTAAGGATCAAGTCAATTATTGTTTTTCCTTTTCTTATTCATATGTATTTTGGAATTCTTTTCCTACAATATTTATGTGTAATTTCTTCAAAAACGTCTTTATCAAGTCTCTCTGGAGATTGCCTGGATTTTTTTTTTTTAAGCCATCTTAAATTAGTTATCTCTTCATTATTTAAAAGTCCTGTTAATTCAAATACCTGTTACTCTTTTCCTCACACAAGGGGTTGAAGACTGTTTTTAATTTCTAAGAAATAAAACACTCTACGCTATGGTTTCTGCCAGTATTAGTCACCACTGATATTACCTTGTTCCCTTAACAACATCAAGGTCAACACCAGCATAGTCACCTGTTATTTTATTTCAGAAACAGAGAAGCCATTCTACAATTACTATCCAACAGTGGAGAAAGGCTATTTATTTAAGGTCAACAAGCTCTGAATTATGTAACGTGGTGCTGAATTAAGGCTTCTGAAAGCAAGCAATGCAGGACACAGGTTTTAAAAGACAATAAGGACTTGTTACTCCCCCATTTCTTCTTCCCAGTTTGTCAAGGATACAGCTTAATTTGCTTCATTTCTCAGCAGCAAAACAATACAGGTGCCTGTTTCAAGGTAACAGGTAACCTACGGTGAAGAAACGGTAGTGAAGGCCTTTAAAACAAATTATGTGATTTGTGGGCAGGGAAAGCTTTTGCCAAGAGACTTTTGGGAAATCATGACCAAAAGAGTCAAAATCCGGTTATTCCTGCAGAAGGAATGTACACACACAGTAACCAGCCACTAGATGTCATTCTCCTTCAAAGTGCGGTTTATGTCGCTTATCCAAGTCAAAAGGAAGTCAAGCGGTCTAGACAACTAATTCCTTAAATGGCATCAATTTAAAATACTCTGACCTTTGATTGGGGTGCCGCACAGTAGTTGACAAAAATAAAAATGAAAACCCACTGGAGACTGGCCATCAGTCTCCAAAGGAAAGTAGCTGCCCAAAGTACAACATTTTAATGACTGCACTGAAACATGTGTACTGTAGACGTCTTTTGGACACTAGAGGGAAGTTCCAACTAAGCAGGAAAATAGGGACTCACTGCACCAAGTCAACACTCAAGACCTGAAGGTGACATCAGTAATCTTAAATCAGGGAAAAGAACTGGTTTCCTTTGCATCTTTTTAAAACACAAAATGACATGAAAAAGATAACTCATTCTCTCTAATGAGGAGTTGGAAGTACTTGATCCCCTTTAGGAAGATTTTTTTCAACTGTGCTGTTTTTTCACAGTTATTCGTGGAAAGGAGCATCACAAGGAATTGCTCATGAAACGTAATGTATAGATCACAGGTTGCAAATGGGCCTAAAGATCCATATCCAGCCTGAGACATTTGGGTTGGTGTTGAATGTATGCTTTGAGCCTTAATTGAACTAGTTGCCAAAATTTTTTAAGAATTGAAATATTACATATAAAAGCATGAATTTCTATCATCTCTTGAAAAAGAGAAGACAAGGCAGCAGCTCTTGGCCCACCTTCCCCCACAGTACCACCGGGAAGCAGAGCTGCCCCCTGCAGACCCACACACATGCCCACTCCACTCTGCACCATGCCCACCAAGCCCCTTTATTCCTGCTGGCTTCCTGCTTGGTCATGGGGAATCTGAATTTACAACCCCTGCTGTAAAAAGCGTAGGAGAAGAAAGAGTTTGAGATGAACTAATAAGATTTCATTGAACAGAATGATCTTTATACCAGAGAAGCAAAGGCAGGACCATTAACAACATGCAGACCTTCCACAGAGACAACCCCACAGGCATATGCACTGAATGGCTCTCTCCTAGGAGACGCACAAAATGGAGCAACCTTCCCCACCCATTCAACTAGATTCACATAATCCCAGCACAGACTTCAGGGGAGTCTGAATGGGCACAATGACTGGGGGAGAAGGGTGCTGCTGATGTGCAGAGTGCAGGAGCCAGAGATGCTGGATGCCAGATGCTGGGAAACGCATGGTACACCAACATTCATCCCATACCACTTTATGTCTGGCTGGACATTCCCGTAGGTGAAAAAGCTGCAATTCTCTGAACCTAGCACCTTACTCCATTTTACATATCAACACAAAGCATGGTTTTGTATGGTTTTATTAATACTATTATTAATATATTTTTCCAAAAATGCAAGTGCTATATAATGAAGGGAAGATCATAGTTTGCATTTTTTATAACACTACCAAGAGCTACTGACCGTTTTGGAAAATCACATCACCGATAGCATGACTTTTGCATCACCAGTGCTGTGTACCTGCCTTAGTCAGCCTACAGCTGTCTTGCTCACAGGGTTTATACAAACAGGTGCAAGCACTTTCTTCCTTACGTCTTCTAGATTATCCAACTCATGATTTTTCAACTTTACAAAAGGTTTATCAGGGTATTAAATACATTTTCAATTTACGATATTTTCAACTTATGATGGGTTTAACAGGATGCAGCCCCATCATAAATTGAAGAATATCTGTAGTCGTCCCCGAGCATTAACTCAAGCACAAAATTTATAATACAATGTATTACTTCCTTCTATTTCTCCTTGATAATTCATTTTGAAAAATTTGGTATCTATTACTTGTGAATTTTATTTCATGTCTGTAAAGTTACATAACATTTGCTAGAAAAAGGGAGCAATGGATCTGTTGAGTCTGAACATCTCTGATCTAATCATCGTCTTTATAATGATGCAATTCCTGAACTCTTCAAAGCGATTTCCAGCCTCCAGGTCTTTGTTTTCATTGTTTCTTCTTCCACCACCTCCCACAGGTGCCTCAGACTGAGACTTGTCACTTCCCTCTCTCCCCCACCATCTACACAATACATACTAAATGACGGAGTCCCCTCACATGACCCCATCTTACCAAACGCAGCTAGCTGGCTGTGACTCTACCATATGTCAGTTTTTGACTGGCAAGCTGAGATGAATCAATATCATCACTAAGCACCAAGAAACATCACTGTTTATGCAGTTAAATATTGGAGTGCCTAGTATATACCAAACTGTTGCAGGCAAGAGGGACACAGCAACAAGCAAAACTGCAAAAATTCCTGCCCTCATGTAGTTTAGATGCTAGTGCGGAAGGTTGGGGGCACCAGTAAACAAAATTCATTAGAAAGATCAGGATAAGTGACATGGACAAAAATAAAGCTTTGGTTGCAAGTTCCATTAAACTACATTGGACTTACATCATGTCCTCCTTCTAAACACCTCAAAGAACTTCCACACACATTTGCCTCAGAGTGCAGGACACTAGAAGAATTATGTTACCATTTTATAGACGAAATGGACAAAGAGAGGCTCAAAAACTTGCTATGGTCACGCAGCACATCAGCAGTGGAATGAACACATCTCTCATATGTGATATAGGATAAATATCATGATAAAAGCAAAAATTCATTAAGCATTTATTATGTGCCAGGCACTATTCATGTGCTTTTTACATCTCATTTGATGTAATCTCACAACCACCTCCAGAGATGAATATAATCATTACCCACTTTTTTACAGATCATGTAGCAGGGTTGGAAAATAGCTACATAACTTGCCCAAGATCACCAGTTAGTGAGTGGTGGAGCCAGGATTCAATTCTAGGTAGTTTGCTCCCAGAGCTTATCCTCATAACCACTGCTCTACCCAAATAACCCCCTAAAAGGGAATGGCTGAGAAAAGAGTAACTCTCCAGACATCTCAAGATGACCATGATCCATCTCTCCTTAGGGTCAGCTTCCTTTTACCCTTTTATGAAAGAACATCTGAAAGCCAGTGGCTCAAGTTGGAGGGCTGCATAGCCAATCCCCAGACACCACCTGAGTGGCCCCCCACGACCTCCCTCACCATCACACCCCATCTCACGACGTACATGCAGTTTGTTGAGCAGGACCGCATCTGTCGTGCTGTTGGCCCCTGGCTTCGCGGCTTTCCAGAACTGCTTCTGGGCAGAGTAGCGATTCATGGGACATAGCTTAAAGAGGCAGTCTAGAAGTAAAACAAACAAAAATTGTTAAGCAGGATGCATAGGACCTCAACCTATGAAAAAAGGCTTTGCACTTTTATTTTTAACGTAAGTATAAATGATGTTTCAAAGTCCTTTTACAACCTCTCTTTTTCAATTTAATCCTTACCACCACTGGGTAAGGTTACAGATGAGAAAACAAGGCTTATAGAAAGTGAGTCATTTGTCCAATGTTACAGAGCCAGGTAGTGACAGAGCTGGGACTCGGTGTCCAAATCCAGTGCTCTTAATCCTACCCCATAATTATCTCCTTCACTTTATGATGGACAAATACAAGGACTAGTGGTCCTCACTGTATACAACACATGCAAGCATTTTCTCACACAAACACAACTTTCTTTAGTGCCACTAAAAAATGAAAAATACTACAGAAGCTTTTTTGGAGGAAACTCCTAAGGCAGTGGTGTCTCAAGTATCATGTGCAAGATGACCCTCTGGGGTGCAGAAAGAAACTATCTGAATTTGCATTTAGACAGAATGTGCCCTTGTCCCTTCACTCTCAGTGCATGGTGATGTGCTTCCATTCAGTGTGCCTGGGCTTACATGAGTTTATACATTGCCTTGTGTTGTACCAACCCTCACGACATGGACAAGCGGCTTCAAGAGATTTCTGCAAAGAAATCAAAACACTGAAGAGAGTAGTAAAGCAACCCTAGCCAACAAGAAAAAGGCAGAACTGACCCCTTCCCTTATTCCTCTTGTCAATCACTGTAAAGTAAAAACAGTGATGATCTAATCAGTCTGAAGAAGTGACCCAGAAATGAAATATTATGAAGAAAACCATTTAAAATATTGTCTTTAATGATGAACCTTACCCCAAAGCACTGATGTGCCTTAAGGTATTAATAATAACATGAAGCCATCATGATTAATAGGATACTACATTATTATTTAATTTTCATCTTTTACATTAACTTCTATTTTCCTGCTTGTTTCATAGTATATATATTAGTAGTACAATAACACACATATTTTAAAAAATACATAAACACACAGTTTAGGTGGACAGTCACCAATTTTTTTTGATAGGCATATGCCATCAACAAAGTTAGGAACATGTCCATCAATAAAGATAGGGATATGCCATCAACAAACAAATAATTGTTCTAGGAAACTAATATTTAAAACTGACACACCCCTGAAAAGTTTACATTTTGACATACCGGATTTTCAAACAGTAAATATTTATACAGTAAAATTAATACATTGAAGTGGTTACTCCAATTCAGAAAAATTACACCCTGAAAGGTCTGATTAAGCTTTTAAGAAAATTACTAACTATACACTTATCTTTATCTGTTCATTAAATCAGACTCTCTTAAAGGATCTTGAACAGGTAAATACCTAGTTATTGTCCTAGCCAAATAACTGTCTCAAAGTAAGAAAAATTCATTTGCTATTAAGTACATAAACACTAGGACTTTCCTCTAATTCAGATTACTCTTTCTTCTAGTCAGTGTCAATGAATTTTTACCATGTACTGCAAAACGCAAATACGTGACATTATTTGAAAAAAAAAATTAAAAGATTTAACTGTAGAAGTAACAGGTACTTTCCCCATTTCTATGATCTGCTTTATCACTAAATATTTCTACCTAGTCACAGGCAGTTATCTGGTAAAGACGGGACCACTGATATTCATCTTTATCAAGAATCTAATCCTAAAAGTAAATATTATTATGTATGAAAGAGACTGTCTAGGTATTTAGAGAACAAAGGACATACCAGGAAACCAGTTTAAAAAATAGGGATACTCTCCCCACTGCTTATGAAAGACACAGGTCATGGTCATTTGCTGTATCAGTGGCAACTTAATGACATCACTGCGAGAGACAGTTTTTCTAGTAGCTTGATATATGTGAACTCACCATTCACCCCATGAATAATCACACACAACCATGTGATCACTGGCCAGCATTAAATGTCCTATCTTTGACACAGGACTGTGGGTGGCATCTGGACTAGGCCAGGGTTACTTCCATAAACAACCACATGACTTACAGCATTCAAAATATTTAAGTGACCAGCATTAACACTTGACACATGACTTACTTTATGGGCCAAATGGGGTTAACTTCAATTCTCATCAGTAATAAGATACAGAGTAGAATAACCTATTTTATTTTTCCCTCCAACATACTTTATATGATGATAGCTAAATGGTATGCATTCCAAAAAAATTGATTTAAGTTGATTCTGGAAACAATCAAGCTGGATCCATGATGCCAGGGGACAGATGACATGCAACAGAAAGTACCATTTTTCAACTGTTCATGGGCCCTCACTTAACAAAAAAATGGGCTACAACAAAGGCTCAAAACTTCAAGTAACTTTAAGTTCGCCTAAGGTGAAAGCGTAAATTTAAGCATTGTCCATCCAAACAAAGCCCTGCTGTAACTTCCACACCAAGCATTGTGCTGGATGAAGTGTATTTACAACCAACTGTCTATGTAAATATAAGAGAAGCTAACATACTAGTAACAGAACCAAATTACCCTTGCTGATTATGCCCCGTCTTCCCAGTTGCTTAGCAACTGATTCAAAGCAAAAATTAAATTAAGCAATTCAAATGTAATGTTAAAGTACCCTTCCAAAATTTTGCAATTTGGTGGCTCCATGTTGCCCTTTGCTATTTAGATGGCACAGCAGGGCAAAATTGAGTTTCACCGGGTCCTAATACTGTGCTAAGAATAGAAGTACACAAATACAGGAATCCAGGAGAAGATTGTATATAATATCTACTTGGGGGAAGAGAGCATGTAGGTGTGTAAGTACATGTACATACATGCACGTGCACACACAGTGGTTTGATCTCACCCAAAGGAATACCACAAAGAGTTATCTATGTGACAGGTTTTATTTTAGGCCTTTGAGAAATAAACTAAACTAAGCTTTCAAAAAATCACATTAGGATATCCCAAAGCTTTAGCATATGACACATTGAGTTAGCAAAGGAGAATTTAGCTGGACAGAGGGGTTGGATTAAGTGTGAAAGGACTGGGCAGGCTAGAAACCAGACAGAGCAGAGCACCGTCAACCTTCCATGGTTTCAATGGCCTTTCAGAGCTGGGTTGGAGGGGGTATGCTCAACTACTTAGGAGAAGAGTTATTGTTGGGAAAATAGAATAGTTTAATCAGGGCCCCTCACCTTAGGCCCAGTTGGGGGTGGTGCAGTGCATTCTTTGTAAATTGTGGGGGGGGGGGGGGGAGCTAGTGCACATGCACGGCACCACCAGCTTGGCTGGCGTCTGCCTTGGGCATCCATCCCCACAGCCAATACTCTCAAATCTATGGCTCCAAGGACCTTTTGGCCAGTTACCTAGCTCACAGACCTGTGTGTGAGGAGTCTAGGGACCCAGCCTGGTGTGTGAAGGGTTTGTGACCTAGTCTGTGTAGGGCTGGAGGGGTCTGTGAGCTCCAGACTCAGCCCTACCTCGACAATTGGCCCAGTCGGCAGGATTATGGGCAGGTAAGAGAGCTCGACAGTTAGCTACCAAATCAGGACTTGTGGTGAACAGTTAAGAGAAGACAGGAGCCAGAGAAGCCACAGGTGGGTCTCAAGCACTCTCGGATCGGGTAGAAGAAAAGCAAGAAAGCAAACAGGTCAGAGACCTCCAGAGGCACCCTCTTCCATGACTAATCAAAGAATAAAGGCTGCCAGAACAGCCGAAGCCCCCCCATCTCCACCCCATCCTCCTCTCTCTAGAACTTCCAGCTCCAGCATGTAAGATCCCTGGGGGTAGAGCCTTCTGTCCGTTTTGTGTGCTACGGTAACCCAGAGGCTGGGGATAGAGTAGGAGCACAATTACAGTGTTGAATTAATGATTTAAATGTGCTATAAATCCTAGGGCCAGAAACAATGGCAGATGAGTCCTGTGAAGTCACTTTCAGTCTAAGCTTCTAGGATTTCATTCACAGATTCAATTACTATTTACTAAAGTGCCTCCTTTGTGCAGGTACAGTACTGGGTGCTAAAGACAGAACAGTGAGCCAGTTACACAAGTTTCTTAATTACCTAGTGATAGAGACAAACAAGTCAAATATACAAGTTGAATCACAGCAAATTAGAAGAACTATGGAGGTCCATTATATATATATGGACCCAGCCTGGCTGAGTTGGAAAGCAGTGTTTCATACAGGAAAGGCATCTTCAGGGCTGTGGCATCTGAACGTAGAGCTGAAGGATGACAAAGGAGGCGGTAGCCTTGATAGAAATCGGGGACAAAGCCTACCAGGCAGAGGGAATAGCACGTGCAAAAGGCACTGAGCTGGAGACAAATCTTGACAATGTTAAAAGAATGGAGAAGGGGGGCTGGAGAGTAGTGGGCAAAAGCAAGAGTTTTGGAAGATGTTGCTGGAGAAGCAAGCAGAAGCTGCACCATGCAGAGCGCTGAGGCTCCGTCGAGGCACCAAGTCATCCTAACAACAGTGGGGAGGCTGGCCGGTTAGTTCAGTTGGTTACAGTACAGAGATGGATAACACCAAGGCCAAGGGTTTGGATCCCCATAGCAGCCAGCCACCAAATAATAAACAAAATTCTTTAAAAAAAAAGAAAAAGGCAGTGGGAAATCACTCAAGTGCTTTAAAGCAAAGAAGAACCTGGTCTGGCTTTAAGTTTCTTAGGGAGCCTTCTTACGTGTGACAGTGCCAACTAAGACAGGGAAGGCTGGAAGGGGGAGGTTTGGAAGAGAGGAGAGGAAATCGAGAATTCCATTTTGGCTATACTTAGATTGAGATTCCTATGAAATAGCGAAGCTGAAATACCAAGTAGTGAGTAGGCCATCCATCAACTAGCAGACTGAAAATACAGAACAGCCAGTTATTTGAGGGTGACAGGGGGGAGGGGGATAGAAGGAGAAGAGGAAGGAAGGGAAGTTGGTACCACAAATACAATGTAGCTATCCATTTGGGACTAGGAAGATCCCAGTCTCCCTACCCAAATCTAAAACTATGTTAATTTGAG